CCAGAGGAGGTGAAAGGCTGCAAAGTTGATTCCTAAGATGTTCGGGTCCAAAAACCATAACCTCTGTCTTATATGAGTTTAGAAGCAGAAAGTTAAGTCATCCATGCTTTTATGTCTGTAAGACATGCTTGTAGTTTAAGTAACTGATTAGATTCATCAGGTTTCATGGTTAAATATAACTGAGTATCATCAGCATAACAATGGAAATTTATCCCATGCTGTTTAATAACCTTGCCTAATGAAAGCAGATACAATGTAAAGAGGTTCAAGCACTGAACGCTGAGGAACTCCATGACTAACTCTGTTTACAAACATTACAATAAAAAACAAGCATTAACAAATACTTACAAAAACAAATTRTCTTCACTTTAGAAGGATTCATAAAAAGACTTTGCCCGTAACTGCCTTACTGACTGAWGCCCWGCAGGATTAGTAAATAGTCAATTCAAATCTTCTGACCATTAATACATGTCTAACACATGGTGTGAAAGTATATTTATATGAGCATTTGCATACATATACACAATATGTAAAAAAGTTAATTCATGAGTTATTAAGCATGAATAAGCATTATGTTAGTAATTAGCCTTAAAGGGTACAACATTACTTAATGTGTTAATTTTTATCTAAGTTTGAATCATCCTTAATGATGTTTTCAAAGTTAACTAATCATTCATTAATGATGAAGTAAGGCTAAATAAGTTGTAGTTATTATAAAACATTTTATTTTCAGTAAAACACTTTTTGTGTTGTAATGACTTTTTAATAATTACCTGTAAAATCATCATCAGATTCAGGCACATTGATGGGATTAGCTGCACACATGCTTCTGTGTAAAGTCTGCATGTTTTTTTTTCTTTGACTGTGGGGATTTTCCTTTTGTACAACTAAAACTGCAAAAACACACATCTAAGATTGATTATGGACTTTGTAATATTATTGAATATGCAGATAATCAGAGAACCATATCTCTGTTGTTAGCCTTGTGATGCACTGGTGATTGAATTTACAGTATTACCTTCTTGCCTACAAGGTTTCTTAGTTTGACTAAATCATTAGAATCCACAGATTAAAACATTCATTGTCAATATATTCAAAAGGTTTTATGTGCATGTTAAATTACTTTTATTTAATATTTAATGGGTCAGTTAACTCTGCTCCTTAATGTAGATTAATTTAGAATGTGCACAGCATGCAGTGTTGAACTTTTTTGAACAAAAAGATAAAACTGCCTTGCTGACAAATGTGACACAACCGCACATTATTACACACAAATGAATCTGGGGGCCACAACAGTATTAGAGAGATTAATCTCTGTCTGCGTGTGCCCGTGTATACAGATGTAGATGCTTGTTCATAAGCTTGTAGGATCTGGTGGCATTCACTCCTGTCATTAACCTGCTATCTTCAATGTCATTTTATCTCACAAATTAAAGGTGTGTGTGTGTGTGTGTGTGTGTGTTTTGCTGAATTTCCTCATTATGGTCATTAAAACATAAAAGCAGGAAAATTGGACAACACTCGGTGTCATCCAGCATTTAGATGGTCCTATTAGTATTCATGAGGTCATATTAACACAGCAAGACACTCACTCACACACTGGATTATGCTGCTCACCTGAGGACACAGTGACCTAATGCTACATTTATCCCAGAGGCCTTAATACAAACCATTAAACCTTAACATGTCTTCTAACCTTCACTTAGTTAAGACTTTAAACCAGATGTTTGRACCTGGCTGAAGTAGCCTTTTGACACACACGACCCGGATCTGTGACCTGGCAGTCCTGCTTAGTTTTAAAAGTGAMTTTAATTTGCAAATAATTGAGGAAGTCTCAGAAAGCTGACAGGCCTGTTCAGAAYGATGGAGAAGAGGGTCCCTGCAGTTGCCATGTGGGAGTTTCTTGTTTTGTGGGAGGAGTTTGTCCAGGACATGATCGGTCTGTTTGACTTTTGTGGGAGGGGTTTGTTAAAKATGTGATTGGTTGGATTGAGAATTTTGAGTGGGGTTTGAAGAAACCGTAACAATCCGGTTGGATGAACTCTGGGCACCTGGTCAAAATGGTCAGAAAGCATCAATATTTAAAAAAATATACACATTTTAGTCATAACTCGAGACAAGAAGGTGCTAGTTGCACCAAAATGGAAGTCAACGGCCCTGTGATGGACTTGCGACCTGTCCAGGGTGTACCCCGCCCCTCGCACTGTGACTGCTGGATATGGGCACCAGTGACCCACGCGACCCTGAAAAGGAAGAAGCGTGTACAGAAAATGGATGGATGGATGGATGGAAGTCAACAAATTGTGTTTATATTTTCAAAAATATTTAGACATTGTTTTGTTTTAAACTATAAAAATTGATAAATTTTGTCTACATGTTCACAATAATTTTGTCATTACCATTACTTCATCTTTTAACTTGCCCCACAAGACAAGCCATTWTTTTTCTAAACTTCGCCCACATCAAAGAACTCTGACAAACTTCGCCTACACACAAACTCCCCCTGTATACTGTAWACTAATTGGAAAGATGTTGCAAAGAGACATTTTCTGTCCTGTYTGTATAACTGAAAACACAAAATGCTTTTTAATATGTTCCCTTGTTTAAAAAAATGAAAGAAGACAAAAAGGCATTAATAATAATAAATGTCCTCTAAAATATCCATTCAACAATACAAAATTCAATTTCAGTGCTTGAGTCTCAACATTAAACTAGACCCAGAGAAGCTAAGAGCRTTGAACTTTATCAACACCCTTAGCTTCTCTCTCTGGCTTTTCTTTCATGTCAACCCTTTAATGCCTTTGCTTTTACATYTGCTTTTTAAAATATAAACTACAATATCTATGCATTTCCAGGAAAATGCAAATCAGACATACACATTTACATACCTATATGTACTGTATGTATATCAGATATTTCTAAATAAATGTTGATGCTGCTCCAACAAAAAACAGTGAATAAGGCTGGAAAACCCAACTTGAATCTTTYGTGTAAAAATMATTTTTTGACCAAACCAWATWGAAACAAACTTACCCCCTATTTAAYAACATGAAGTTTTTAGGGAAAAAAGGTAATATTTTTACACTTTTAATCTCTCTGTGCTCCCATCTCTGCTACAGAATGATTCCCCCTTCAAGCAAGAACTTTCTGGTCAATAACCTGGCTGCAGGAACTCAGTATGACCTTTGCGTGCTGGCAATCTACGATGATGTCATCACCTCCCTGACGGCGACGCGAGTGGTCGGCTGTGTGCAATTCACCACCGAGTCGGAGTACATGAGGTGTCATTTCATGCAGTCTCAGTTCCTTGGCGGGACTATGATCATCATCATCGGAGGGATAATAGTGGCCTCGGTGCTCGTTTTCATCATAATCCTGATGATACGTTACAAGGTGGGTGTCTGTGTGTTACAGTCAAACCTACAAGGAGAAAAAAAAGATTTAATTTTATGATTCAATTGGACGATTGGCTTTACTGCAGGTTTCCTAGTTCAGAGGTTTATTTCCAAATGACTGAGGCTGTGTCTCAATTCAGGGGCTGCAGCCCACATAGGACGCATTTTTTGGCCGTTCATGTCACTACAGGCATGTACATGACATTTTTTATTTCCGCCCTGCAGTTWACAAAAAAAGTAAAAGTAAAAATGTTTTTCCTCCTCCAACCAACTGTGAAAAAACATCTGTTGTGTATCTGTAGAGCTATAGGTTATGGAACGTACAACAAGAAGACAGATGGAGAAATTATAATTCATTCCCTACAACATAATATTTATATAGTTATAATCTTATACAAGAAAATATTTACATTTATCGAGGTAGAAAAATTTGGTCAGAATTTACTCTCATGTAAAGCGACTCACCAAAATTATGGATGATTTTAGGGGTTAAATTTTTTAACACACTTAAATGCTTTCATTTTTAGACCACCATAGTTTTTAAGCAATTTAGGAGTGGAGCCACTATGTGCACGTTTGTGCAGGGTGAACCTAGACTATAATCAGTCAATTCGCACAACTTTAAATTGTGCATTCTTGTTTAGTTCCTCTGTGGTTTAGGCTTATTAAAAACGTGCCACAAAAACCCGACCATCAAGCGAATAATTTCATCCCAAATTTGGCCCAAATTTGGGTTGGGCTCAGTCAATAAATCTAAACTCTACCTTGGTCTAAATAGACTACAACCACTGAATTGGGATACAGTCTAAAGCTGGAAACATACTCCCTCTGAACTATCGACGTCGGCACGGGTTGTCACAGTTTAATGACGAAAATTATGTCATCGGTGTTCGCAGCGTTGGCTCGGCCGCCCCTTTTGGCACAACTTTTTACCCCCCTCCCACGACGATGGTAATGTGTGATTGGTATGAAGTTCGTGGGCGTGTTTATTCGTGCTTAAAGTGCTCGGACACTCAAAAGAAAAAAAATGACTAGCTTCCMGAGCCGACTGTTAACAGAAAGTAGAGTTTTGAGGAAGTCTCAAAAATCTCAGACTCGGTGTCGGAGCAAGTATTTTTCGGGCTTTAGTCAGCGATCCCCTTGTCTGATACTGTTCACCTGTAGAAGTCCTTACCATTCAAAAACACAAGTCTTTCTAATAATTTTTGGTTTGTTTGATGCTGTACACATTTTTTTCTGCCTTTCCTCAGGTATGYAACCAAGGGGAGGGCGGCAAAGGCGTTTCAATGTCCATGACTAATGTTCATTCTCAGACCAATGGGCAGCAGTCACAAGGATGCACAGTGACTCCCAGCGCCTCTAAACATGGATTAGTCCCACTGGACGACCTCTCAGGAGGGACAAAGAAAACGAGCGGAGGTGCAGCAGGTGGATGTGGAGAGAAAGACACAATAACTCAATCATCTGAATGTTCCCTGCCTGACTGCTCAACTGCCACATCGGTTCTCAGCCAAACGTGGGCGTCTAAAAGCCCACCAGCTGGAGACCGTGACAAACTTGGTGAACAAAGACCWCCGACCGGCGTCGTATCACCCACCACCGCCACCAGTTCCCTGCACAAGCCAAAGCGGAAGCCGGCTCCCAGTAAGCCCGGCTCGGCTTGCTCCAGTACCCCGGCGATGCCCGAGAGTCTTCCTCAAGCCTCTTCTCCTCGCCCWCCATCTTCTACTCCCACCTCTGCCCTCCTCCCTTCTATCACCCCTACCCCTATGGAGAACCTCAACACTAACCGCAACAACTCAACCGCTCTCAACAAAACCCCACCTCCTCCTTTCTCCCCTTCTCCCTTCTCCAGCCCCGTTGCCTCCCCCAGCCCAGTTCCTTCCTTCCGATTCAGGGAGACGCCCATCCTGCACAGAGCTCTTCGCGTTGCCTCCTCCTCTGCAAAGTACCAGACTCTTCCGATCGAGGAGGGAGGCCGGAGCAGAGCGAGGAGGAGGTACTCCTTCAGCGAAGAGGGCTCAAAGACTCTCCTGTCCCATCAGGGAGGCGGAGCGCCCAAATTAGGGCGGGTAATGCGAAATAAAAGGAGCCAATCAATGAGCGGGATGTTGCTCCCTAAAGAAGAGGACGGCGACTCAGAGAAAGTGCGTTGTGACTCTGACTGGATCCTAGAAAGCACAGTTTGATCCGGAACAAGGCAGCACACTTAAAACAAACTTTGGTTTATTCATTCCTGTTCAACCTTTGTGTGAGTGTTTGCAGTGTGTTTGAATTTGTTTATAGGTGTGTGGGTGAATGGAAAAGCCCGTTTTTTGATGTTTGAAACTCTGTATTGTTACAGTTTAGAATGTATGTTCACATCTTTGAATTTGGCTCGCAGGTGTGTGAGAAAGAAGGAGTGTGTGTTTTGATTAAAACTGTCAGTTTTTATTTTTCTTTGAGCTGTTTTTATCATTCTTTACATCATGTTTTTCCAAAGCTTTTTGTATTACGTTTACAAGTTTGTTCTCTACAATGACAATATCCTTCAGCAAATGGATAACTTGCCTTGTCTCGTAGTGTTCTTGAGTTGTCTTGGTTCCACTTTATAGCACAAAAGAAAAAAAAACAAGACAACAGGCTTGCCACGTCATTTCCCAATTAACACTCACCTTGTCTGAAAATACCACAAAAGGGAATTATTAAAGGGAAACAAAAGGAGTATAAACTACAGAAAGAAGAAAAGCACATCATTTTTAATAATCACGCACTGGCTGACAGTGTGCATTCACAGTGTGGCAAGAGAACAGCAGTTGGTGCCTTCTTTTGCACTAAAAGACCCTCACTAACAGACACTGTAACCGGATTTCACTCCAGCTCTGCAAACAAGGACAAACGAGATGAACTAAGGAAGAGACAGATTTCACACATAGCCTTTCCTACCTACAGAAGAGTTCAGACTTTTTTCTTGACATTTAAAGACAAGAAACAACAAACAAATGAAGACTTTAACGGACCTCTTATGAAATTGTTATTTTTAAAGGGAAGAAAAAAAAACATGATTACCTTCTGAGCTTTTCACTGACATTGGTATGTTGTAGCCTKTGTTGGTCACGAGCTCACAGGAAGCTTCTGTACAGAAAAAGACAACATGTACTGTGTTGTTATGTTGTGTAAAATAAAAAAGAAATAAAATTTAAACATAAAAGTGTTGTGCCTTATCTTCAAATTGCAAATACAAATTTTCATCAGTTTTATGGTGTTTAAACTTGATTTTTAAATTAAATAAATGATCTGCATTTTTTTCTGCCCATAGAATAAGACACATAGCTGTAAAAGGTCTATCAAGGTCTAGTATTTTATATCATTATTATTAGTAATAGTATATGGAGGTCATTTTGTTTTTTATTGTTCAAAAAAAACAAGCAGTTTCATCCAACATAGTTTTTTTTTTCAAACAACAAAACACTTAATGAAAAAAAAGTTTCACAAAACAAACTTTTTTTTCATTTCATAATTYTTTTGGTTGAATCAAACTTTTGGTTGAAGCTCTAAGCTTTTAGTTGAACTCAAAACGTTTTGAAGTCAGAGAACATGAACACCCATGACAGAGACCAAAAAGAACTACATGACGTGTTCCTATTGGTTGGTGTGGACTGAAGYAATTTCACTGTGCACCTGCTTCAAATGTTGTCAATACATTAAATGGCCGTTGTTAGAGGTTATCAGTCCCATACAATGTGTCAAAACTGCTCCTCTTCTCCTAGTAGTTTGGAAAGCACTCATGTATGCCTTATAATAAGCATTTGGGTGCAGTGTGTTTGGCTCCGCCCCTGGGGCAAAGAGCTTTAACGACTGTCTCACTGTCCTTAGAAAAAAAGGTTTGTTTTTGTTTAGTTTATCTATCTATCTATCTATCTATCTATCTATCTATCTATCTATCTATCTATCTATCTATCTATCTATCTATCTATCTATCTATCTATCTATCTAT